ACTCGAGGCCAATGAGACGCTCCAAACTGACCACAGGTCAAGAGTGAACGGCAGGGTCTACACGTGGTTCAACGATGGGCTGGTAATATGACCAGGGTTTGACCTTGGTCTGCCTGATGATCTCTGGTATCACTCCAACAGATGAATGATTGAATGACTAATTAACATTTCAGTTTTATAGCTTGTGTCCTGATCGTTAGCATTTGCAATTATTTAAATGTTAATCCACAGTTAGCTCTCTAAGAAAAACACTGGGGGGGGGGGGGGTAATGAACAATGGGTTGCTGGTTCTTCACATGTGTGTGTGTGGGGGGCGTCCTCTTGTTGCCTAAAAGCCACCTCATCATTTGCCTGGTAAATGAAGTGGAACACCTCTGGTCACCACAGCAGCGGACCAGCTGTCAGTCCAGGACTGGATCCTGGTTCAGAGAGACTCCAGGTCCTCCAGGATCTGAGCTCCAGGTCCTCCAGGATCTGAGCTCCCTGCAGAGAGAACACATTTCTCCTAACAGCTTGGCTGAAATTGCACCAGCAGATGGCATCTCTGCGTCCCTCCTGACACTTGATGAAGATCAGACGCCTGTGGTCCGTGCTCTTCAGACCCACTGAGCTGCTGTAAAGTGGAATAAAAAGGATTTTTTTTCTCTCCCCCATGAAAGTGAATTCTCAAGTACCTTCCTCTGAAGCATTTGAAGGTACAATGTACGAAACGCTAGGTGGAAATATTTTGTTCTCACTCTCATTTACCAAGATACTGTAACATTTCAGGAAACATTGATTATCCTGAACATTTTTTTAAATTTTATTTTCAAAATGCATCAAGTGGGTCGGCTGTGTCAGACTGTGGGGGAGGGGTTTATGTGTCGTCTCTCCTGATACGGTTGTGTTCAGATCATTTCTGTGCTGTGATGATGGAAACATGAGTTCTGGTGTCACCCTGAACAGAATCAACAGTTTAACACGTCTCAAAAATAGTCCCGAGGAGCAGCTCATTGAAGCGACGTGACACGGAGAGCGAAGGAGAAGCTCAGACTGTCAGCCCAAAACCTCCTCCGCTGCAGTTTGTTAACGGTCGTCTTCATTACCGCGGACCAATCACCTGTCAGCAGAACGCTTCTGTCTGGAGAGAGACGACGATTTGACATTAAGAATTGTGCAAATGCGTGTGGTCTATGTTTATCTATGCTGATGACCTTAGCAGCGCAGCTACTGCTAGCATAATAATAACTGTAGCGCGTGTTGTGTTTTCATTCAGACCAGCAAATGGCTCGTGAGTCATTCAGGAACACGTCCAGAGGCTCGGACGTTTACACTTCATCTCAGGCTGTTGTCAGTACCATTCAGTAGT